AAAACCCCGACCAATCAGAGCGCGCGTAGACCGTTCGAGCGGCCGCGGTAGCGAAGGCTACGCGCTAGGCGGCAGCGTTAATGTCCTTCAATGCACGTCGAGTCACTTGTTCGCGTACAAGCGCGGCCGCTCGAACGGTCTACGCGCGCTCTGATTGGTCGGGGTTTTCGCTTAATATCTCCTTAACGAAGCCCCATCCGACATTTTTGTAAAGGATATTGTTGTTCAGAATCGTCTCAGCTACTCCCCATTTCCGGCTCCTCCCCGACTTTTAGGACACCCTGTATATCGTTAAGGAAAAAGTTGTTTCAAATCACCCCCCGAACCACTCCTTTCAAGGGCCTCCAACATTTTTGGGACACTTTGTATATACTACAGACTCAACGACAAAGTTCCATTGTTACTTTGTTCTTCTGTGACGTCACATAGATAATTTTATCTTTGCTTCAAAGCATTTATCTGAAGCCGCGTCTATAAGTACAGGGCTGTTTTAGCAATATTGGCGCTCCGGGCAAGATTATCGTGGCGCCCCTTCAGGGGTATATACAGAGTGTTCAAAAATGTTGTAACACATTGAAAGGGGTGATTCAGGGGGTGATTTGAAACAACTTTTTCCTTAGCGAAATTGTTGTTCGAGGCTTCGTTGAGGAGATATTAACGGAAAACACTAACCAATCAGAGCGCGAGTATGTCGGTGAGCGTAGGCTACGCAAAAGGCGGCCGCGCTCATATGCTACCGCGGGCGCTCTAACGGTATACGCGCGTTCTGATTGGTCGGGTTTTTTTGTTAATATCTGCTCAACGCAGTCTCGGACAACATTTTCGCTAAGGGAAAAGTTGTTTCAAATCACCTCCTGAACTACCCCTGCAAGGTGTTAAAAATTTTTTTGGGACACCCTGTATATACCCCTGAAGGGGCGAAACGATAATCTTGCCCGGGGCGCCAATATTGCTAAAACCGGCCCTGGTTGTAAATGTACAGTAATTATATGTAATTTACAATTACTGATTGCTTTGACACTGTTCACGTTTAAATATTTATTACAATTATTACAATAATGAATGAGAGGATCAATCAGATTGCATTTTGCGCCATCTGGTGAAAGATATCGAATCAGGATTCTTATTCACTAGCCTAACTGGCTAACACCTAGCGGACCTAGCCTCTTGCTATTTCAGAATAAAAATTTGGTTTTAGTGATTGACATTTGCTAGTTCGTTGTTATTTATATTATCACGTATTCAGAACAAGTCTCGCGTTCCCGATAATAAGTATCAAAATGGGCGAAGATTTCAATGGAGGTAAGTATTCTAAATGTCTCTAAAAGTACTGTACTTTCCGACATCGTTCCCGCGTTATAACCAGGTAAATAATTCGGTTGACTGTAATGGCCGGAGAAACATACTCGTGAAAGTAGTAAACATACCTCGAAGCGTTTCCTTTATAATTTTTCCCTAAAAAAAAAAATCAAACCGAGAACCATTCGTAATTTATTTTAACGTGACTTAATCAAGATCCGATTCATTTTCGCGAAATCTTGGAAATTAATCGATAACCTCAAGCATCGACGAAGATTGTCCTCATGGGTATATTTCTGATTATGCATTGAGAATGTATTATTTCAACGACTGATATTATTTTATTGATTTCCTTCATGGTTCCCTACGTTTTTTTTGTTATATATTAAAGTGAACTTGAAAATGGTTGTGATTTTTGTGTCAATAATTTTAATCTTTGAGATTCAAGTAATGTATGCACATTTATACACATTATAAGTAATATACATCGTTAATAGCTCTATGAATTATTCATGTGTGCATGAAATTATATAAAACTTGTGTACATGTGAAATTAAGTTGTAAATCTGATACATGTCTTTAAAGCAACATGTTCAAAGTTATTGCAAAAACTTAGTGTTTTATTATTAATCAAAATAAAAGTAATCAATATTTATAATTCCACATATTTTTAATAGATCGAGATCGCCAAGACCGTGATAAGGATAGAGATAGAGATAGGGACCGTGATAGGAGACACAGATCTCGTAGTAGGGATCGTAGGAAACGTTCACGCTCGCGTTCTAAAGAACGAAGAGATCGAAAAAGGAGTAATTCTCCTAAGAAGGGTCGTAGTTCTAGAAGAAGAAAACCATCTCTTTATTGGGATGTTCCACCACCTGGGTTTGAACATATTACTCCCTTACAGGTAAATTTCAGAATAAAAATATATAAATATATGTAATTTATTAAATTTATAATTCAATATGTTTGCTACCATTGCTCATTGGAAATAAAATGTATTAAATAAGCAAATTAAATATTGTAACAAATATGTATTATAGGGAGAGAGAAAAGTCAGATTGAGTTAAAAATATTATGGCTATCAGTAATGGGATATAGGCTGCTTCAAGTCATTTTTATTTAGTTGTAGACTTTTTAGGGGTGATTAAAACATCTAAGTTAATACAACTAGTAATTTCTGTTATGACTGATCTTTCTTTCTTTCTATAGTACATTTGGAATATAATGTTAATTGCAAAAGTTAATGAATGTTAATTAGATTCATACATATTTCTTTATAGAAAGAAAACTTTTTTTAATATGTGTATATACAGAGTATTTTGTTTAAAATGAAATGGTTAAATGTCTCATGAGGGGATGAAGCTACCAAAAAAAAGTTTCTAGAAAAGTTATTTGCTACAAAAGGGTAAATTATATAGAATAAATAATTTTGTTGTAAGTAAAGTGGTGGGGAAGATTTAAAAAGCAAATTAATTTTTTTAAACAGAATTTTAAATTAAGGATTGCATATAGTACATTGAACACAACCTGCCAATTGAGCAATAATAGAGTATTTTCTTTGTGTCTTTTATCCTTATTTGATTAACTGACAGGCTACATTAAATGTACTAAATACAACTTCCAACTTAAGGGTTTATAATGGGTATTTAAAAAAGTTCGTGGTTTTTGCTGCTCAATCAAGGCGAGAATGCTACGCAGGCTTGGGAAAGAATTTGTGGCATTTACAGACAAAATTCTCTATCAAAATTTTGATGTCAAAGATGCATCATGCTGTGGTCGACCAATCACAGATCGATGCGATGAAATTATGCAAATGGTTGAGAAACGCCATGAACTTTTTCAAATACCCAATATTATGATAAATGACTATATATGATAGGCAAATAAATGTGTCTAAACAAATGCTATCTTATTCTAACTAAAAATATATAAAGATCCATTTATAAAAATTAATTTGTTTATTAAATTTCCCCCATCACTTTACTTATAAAAACATTTTTTTTTAATAACTTCATCTCCTTTATAAGATATTATTTAACCATTCTATTTTAAGCAAAACACCCTGTATACAGGTACAAAATGTGTACAAGAATATTGATGGGTTCACAGTATTTTATGTCACATATATTGTGACACTAATCTATATTTTGTATTTCATTTGTTTATATGGAAATGAAATAGCAAGTTCATTGCATATAAGCAATGTAGGTCTTGGGAGGGTTAATGTCATACATATGACATGGTAGCAAACATATTAAACAAGTTATATTTTTGTGAAACTAACACTTAATTCCAATAGTATAAGGCAATGCAAGCTGCAGGACAAATACCAGCAAACATTGTGGCAGATACACCGCAAGCAGCTGTACCAGTCGTTGGTAGTACAATAACTCGACAAGCAAGGAGACTGTATGTAGGAAACATTCCATTTGGCGTGACTGAAGAAGAAATGATGGAGTTTTTCAATCAGCAAATGCATCTATCTGGACTTGCACAAGCTGCTGGAAATCCAGTGTTAGCGTGTCAGATCAATTTAGACAAAAACTTTGCTTTCTTAGAGGTACAATTACAGTTACTTGGAAATAATATTTTTGTTATTCATAGCTCATATTATTATATGATAAAATATTTATTGCAATTTTCTATAGTTCCGTTCGATAGACGAAACAACGCAAGCTATGGCATTCGATGGTATCAACTTCAAAGGACAAAGCTTGAAAATAAGAAGACCTCATGATTATCAGCCAATGCCAGGAATGACTGATAATCCAAGCATGAACGTGCCAGGTACGGTTCCTGGTATGTTTTATACATGCTTTTTTTATCATTATATACATTATAGAAACAAATTTCTTTTCAATGTTACATAAAATATAATGCAACGTTTTATCATTTTAGATTCTCCACACAAGATCTTCATTGGTGGTTTACCCAATTATTTGAACGAAGAACAGGTATGCAAACATATCTATAACATAATTTTGTTTATTGCACACCTTTGGATGCAATTTTTATTCACTGATGCCTACACATAAACTAAATTTCATTTTACCATATTTACTTCATAAGCTTTGTAAATGTCTTAAACATGTTAAATCTAATCGAATATCATCAGTGATTAAAATATCTGCATCGCTGTATAACAATGCTGTAGGATTACTTTGAATACATGCTAGTTCTCAGCATTGTGAGTTATACCGAAGGATTAAATGATATCATAGGTATTTAGCTATTTAGCGGAGATCAATCTTACGAAGATGTGTCAACTATACTCAAATGCCACAGAGGTACGTATGGGTATCCATTGGATTTCAGCGTCGACTAGGTTTTATTCAATCAGGTGAAGCAGGTTTCAGTTCCATTTGCGTGTCTGATCAAGTCTAGGGATTGTAGAACCTCGTATCTTAAAATTCTCATCTCTTCTCGAAACACCGTTATTCGATAGTGGGTAGGAAAATGGTTAGTGGTGTTGCAGCATTCAGGCGGCATGCAGTCGTAGCAGTCGTGTTTCTTTTACAGTCCTTTTAGGATCATCGTGGACCCAGCCAAGGGAATACGAGATATTTCTTTATATTTAGGAATTTTTACCTAGGAAGACAGGGGGTAGGAGATGAAAGAAGGAATAGTTGTATTTATATTTATAGTAATTATTCAAAAAGAACGATGATTATTCGTATTTACCTTGAAGTTGTTAGGTGCAAAGAACTATCTTCAGAAACAAAACGTTCTTTGTATTTTCACATTTAGAACACTTGCAGAATAAATTTCCGTGCATTGATGTTATGTGCAAAAAAAAAAAAAGATTTTTTAGGACTACAAGAAATAAGTCAACATTTTATCAAGTATACAGAAGTTTTTTTTTCTTAATGGGATTACAGGGTCAACACATAATCTTATGTGCATCTGGTAACAGCTCCAAGTCTTTTGGCATCTATTCTTTTCAGGAGTATTATTTCTCTTGCAGCTGTTTTCTTTACAGGCTTTTCAGGCTTTACAGCTCTTCGTCCTTGTGTCTTGTTACGTTTACAGGTTACACGAACGAACACATGTGTTCAAGTATCAGTAATGTGCATTTATACAAAGACAAAGTGCAAAGAGAAAGTAAGAAAATAAAAGTCGGTAAATGTGATTACATTAAACGTTGGAAAAGTGAATACATACTGTGTTCTTACAGTGGTACATTGTTCAAATAATACAATCAAAAAATATAACCATTTGGTTATCATATAGCAACTGTGGACTGATACCAGTGCCCTTTCTCCCCATTTCTTAGCTTAGGGTTGCGCCGATCAAAAGCATTTGCTTACCACTACCACTACTTCTACCACTACTTCTACCACTACTACTACTACTACTGAACATGACAAAATACCACACTGCCTGGAGAAAGGCTAGCCCAGTCCCTCGAGGCAAGTACTTATATCATTTTCATGCCTTCGTATTGGGCTTATGCGACTTTTGCAGCCCATTTTCCGAAGACCTTGGTTGTTCTACACAAATGGTGCGTTTTCTAATTCGATAGTTTTTCATTGATAATAGCGTGTTGCTTACTCTTATGGACATTAACGATGCAATAGGAAACATTGAATGGTTAAAGGGATAGTTTCTATTATAGAATTCCTAGAGAAGCTTGAAACTTCAATAGTCGCCTGAAATAGGCTTAATCTCCTAGGTGTCAATAATGTCTAGGGCAAACTCAAATCTAATGTCTTCATGATATTGTCCTTATTGGAGCATACGTATATGGATGCTTGGAATGTCTTGGTTATATTATATAACTTCAGATAATTTTGGAGATTATTGTTATATAATGCTTTAGCCAAGGCACATCAGGTTGTGTTTACATATGGCTCAATGAAATAAATTTAAATACTTATTTAACATTTGTTAGTGTTGTATACATCACATCTACCTGGAAGTTTTAACTCTCAGGAATGACAGTAAATCTTCATTAAATGCAACATGCTGTTATCTTTGCTTCAGAGTTTTCAGTACTTCTGGAAAATGGAAAAACGTAAGTAAATTTGAGGTATGCTTCTTTTTGAAGAGAGAATAAAAATGAATGTGGGAAATATCCGCGTTCGAAGAGCAAGAGTATTCTGTTCAAAACATTGACAAAGATCTGTTCCAGACTGGAGTCAAACTTTTGTATGTAAGAAAGGCATTATATGAAGATGTTAAGTGAAAATTGAGTAGGCGAGACCATGCATTCATAGTGATTTCATTATCTTTAGATTATGCAACTTTCGTATTATTTTAAAATCATGATAATTTAAAATGTTTATATTATCAACAAGACAACTACAGTATAATTAAAAATAGTCTACAAAACATCGAATTTAATAATTCACGATTCAGTTTTAGTTCTAAAACAAATTGTACCAAATATATAGAAATATTCAAATTATATTGTATTTTTCACATACTTGTAATTTTTTGGAGTATTACATATTAATGAAGAAAGAAAATAATAATTATTGCATTCAAATATGAAATATAAATAAAGCAGTTGCATAATCAAAACTTATTTAGATAGTATTAATATGACATAAATAAACAAGTAAAGTCATTTTTATAATACAGGTGAAGGAGTTGCTGATGAGCTTTGGACAACTAAGAGCATTCAATCTAGTAAAGGATTCGGCTACAGGTCTATCCAAAGGTTACGCATTCTGCGAGTATGTTGATGTGTCATTGACTGACCAAGCAATTGCTGGATTAAATGGAATGCAGCTGGGAGATAAGAAATTAATTGTACAACGAGCTAGTGTAGGTGCTAAGAATCCTATGATTGGCGCACAAGCTCCGGTTCAAATCCAGGTGCCTGGATTATCTATGGTGGGGACAAGTGGACCAGCCACTGAGGTAAGACACTTTGAATCAAAACTTCATTTTTTTAAATATATTTTATACCGTAAATCTATACTTTGTCTGAAGCAGTTTAACAAAAATTAGCGAAACCTGGCCGAAAATTCCATTTGAAATCCAGGTTTAAAAGGGTTAAAATATAGTAAGCTTATAAATCAAATATAGTAAGCTTATAAATCAAATATTATAATTTTTATTAAAGCTTTTTATTACTTCATAAGAAATTGAATATAATAAGAACAATTATTATTATTAAATACTATGTATAAATAACAACAGGTGCTTTGCCTACTGAACATGGTGACTCCCGAGGAATTAATGGAGGAAGAAGAATATGAAGATATTTTAGAAGATATTAAAGAAGAATGTAACAAGTACGGTGTGGTTCGATCAGTAGAAATACCACGACCTATAGAAGGTGTTGATGTACCTGGATGTGGAAAAGTATGTTTCCTACTAATTTGGAAACAATTCTAATTTCACCCGATTTGATACACTTCATTGAGTTCTTGTATTTTCTTTTATAGGTATTCGTCGAATTCAATAGCGTGATTGATTGCCAGAAAGCACAACAAACTCTCACAGGACGAAAATTCAATAACCGCGTTGTGGTGACGTCATACTTCGATCCAGACAAGTATCATCGCAGAGAATTTTAAATTATAGATTGCTCTTTTCATACCAATTAATAATTGACTACCAATGTATAATAGTATATATTGAATGAATAATCACATGAGCCCGAAAGTGAATTTTTTTTCATCAAATTGTACAAAGCAGAATGTAATTGATTTCCGATCGTATTGTGCGGTGAACGATGTTTGTTGTAATTTGCGCATCTTTTGATGATATAACCATATATAAATAATGCGTAACTTATCATATAAGATATTTCACAATTTTTGAATTAGTAAAAAACTAAAAAATAGGTACGGTTATACGCGTAGCGGTATTATTGAATTTCAATAATCAATTAGTAAGATTAAAATAATAAACTATTGTGAAAGACAGAACTATATAAAAATAAATAACACATTAGCATTGTGTTTATACGAAATTTTTCCTACGCAGATAATTTTATGCTATCTTTCCAAAATATAACAAAATTATGTATTGAATGCTAACTAAAATATTTGTGTATTTTTATATTTGAATTCAGGCATCGTTTTGCGCTGCAGCTTGATACAAATGACCTTCTCCAGTATCAGCATTATCGACTACAAATTTTTGTAGTATCGCATAGAGTCCACCACCGGCTAGCAACATACTAATTCCTACTAAAAGCACTATAGACCATGCTGGTATCGCAGTTCCCCCTGAAAAATTAAATACTCTTGTTTACTACATATATTATTTTTCTTTTTGATTTGGTTGTATTTATGACTTACAGTAATAGCGTCTTGTAATCGTTTTCCGTCCTCTTAGAATCTTACGCCTTGCTTCAACTTCGTCCATAAATATACCCGCAATTACTGGTTAAAATTGATGGATTGATATGAAATAATGTCGATTTATTTTTCTTAATGTTATTACAAATTATTTATACAATCATATTGGAGTTGTTTCATTTCCGTTTATCTTGTATCTAAAATCTTATTGTGTAATATTTGTCTTATTTTCATAATAACTCCATTATGCTTTGTGATTTTTATAAGTTACCTGACATTAGGTTTTGTAAAACCACCCTTTTTCATAACATTTAATGCGTAAACATTTTACTGGCAATTTTTATTAAAAAAAGAAAGAAAAAATTATAAACACGTTTTATAAATCTATTGTAAATTTTTTCTTATTAAAATAAAATTTATAGTTCGACACAAGTAGAGCTCGTAACGAATTTTATGAAATTTTACATTTTGTAGAAGTATGGTAATTTAGCCAGTAAAATTATGTATTTTTTAAAAAATAACATAACATAACAAAGTGAGGTATTACACGTAACTGTAATAATAGGTTCTTTCAAAATGATTAAATTAAAAATATTGCACAAATTAATACAATTACTTACGTAGGCCAATAGCAAAGTAACAAATCAACTTCTTGGAACACATCTTGTTGGTAGAAAATATGTAAATTACCAAAAGTAGTATGTTATAATCAAATGTTTCTTGTGGTTGAAACGATTAGACGAGTAACGTTAAAGTCACGTTAGAATACCTCAGAGATATGGACGGTGAATCCATAGTGAATCAACGTTTTGATAAGAAATATCCGATAACAGGTGGAAGTGCATCTTATCTGTATCACGAGAGAGATAAAAGATATTCTTACTACGAAGCTCAATTGGGTTTGTAAACATTGTTAGCACACTTTCAGGAACTGATCTTTTTTTCATTAACTGTGCTTTTGTTTCTAATACTATTATACATGTAAGTGATCAAAAATTAAATATTTAAGTTAGGCCCTTATCGCAGAGTAGATGAACTGCACATTAAATCTGTACAAAAAGGATTGTTAAAAAAATGTATATATACACTCATAATCAATTCATGATTTAGCTGTATTAATAGCTTTGGTTAATGTCCTAGTTTGACTCATCATAAAGGTTTCTCTAGCAAATCCTGTCTTAAACGTTTTAACATTCTTTAAATTAATTATTTATTAAGAGTTATTAATTAACTATCAACTGTTCAAACAATTAATTTTGTTACATATGAGGTAGGATATATTAAAGAAATTTTGCATAAGATTTCTAAACTTACAAATCCGAGATGAAACGCAATAATATTGTTCCTTTCATACAAAATATTACTTATTGCTTAAGAAAGAGCTTTTTATTCATATACTAGGGTACTTTAACAGATTAGTAACCTGGGTTTGTTCCGATTTATAATACAAAGATAAAGATATTTGTACAAATTTATATAAAATGTTTAACTAATATTATACATTGGGTGAATTAAAAATTAGGAGTTGGTTTCTTTACTTGTTTTTTCATGTGTAGCAAAAATAACGTAAGAACTTAGGATGCAGGTAAAATTTAATAGTGTACTTTCAGAACTGCAGGTCGAAGTTGGGGGTGAGTTAGGGTAGGATCTATTAAACAGAAAAGACGTAGTCAATTAATATTCATAATCGCATACCGACTTTTTATTAATTAAAAATCAGAGAAATCAAATTACAAGTATAATAACTTAGTACATGATTGATGTAATATCATATTGATTGATGCCAACCTGAAAAGACCATTGAATGAATGTGAACCCAAATAAGTTTGCTTCACTCTGACACACATAATATAAATACACAGTATACATCACGAAATGAAATATAATTCAAAGGAACATGGTGCATTATATATCTGGTTTAGATTTTGATTAATCCTTTGAGACATTTACATGAAAAAAGTATAATGAAAATAGTGAAAATGTTGATTCGCTCTTCTTACATTAAAACTATATAACAAAGGGCTCAGAAAATTCATTGTTGGAACAGATATTGAAAACTGTCGGCATCAACATTTGTTTGTTGACTTAGATAATTAATATAATCCTTCTGTTTTGGATAACATTGAAGTAATTACAGCGAAAATAAAACTTTATGCAATTTGCAAATATAATTGCCATAATAATAGAAATAGAAATAGCTGGCACATATACAAGGCATTCTAAAACATCACGTTTCATATAACAATCTCTTCTGCCTGAAACGGCAGCATTCACATTTCTCTTTCTCCTCGTTATTTGCTTCTAGTTAATCTATTTCTCTACTTATACATTCTCTCTCTCTCTCTCTCTCTCTCTCTCTCTCTCTCTCTCTCTCTCTCTCTCTCTCTCTCTCTCTCTCTCTCTCTCTCTCTCTCTTTCTGCCCTAGAAACTGTAGTTTCCCTGGTTTATCTGTGTTTCCTCTCACATCTTGTTTCTCTTTATTCAGCACCATTATGATTTCGAAGAATGCTTCGTACAAGTACATGGTCTTTAATTATTTTCTCTGTACCCATGAAAATCGCGCCTAATCAGCGCAAGGTTTCTAAAACCATCGCATTTTAAGGGGTAAAGCCATCTTTATGGTTTCATAAAATCGATACTGTTCATGTATTTTTTGAAAATCCAACATTTAAAGAATACCGTTTTCAAATACTGAGGTGAAATATTTTCAATTGGCGAGTAACTTTTCTGAGAAACTATTTACTCGAGTAACTTCAAGTTTAAACTGTATGTTCACAATAATTTTTTTCTTATAATTCTTTAGTCATATGAAGTGTGTTTTAAATCTCAAAAAAAGAATTTGCAGAATTTATCATTTTTGTATTAAAAAGTTTTCCCTTTTTAAATAATATAGTATTTAAAAAAAAAACTTAACATGCAACAGTGGTAACATACGTTTAGATCCTAAAAATTTTAATTTCATTTGATTCTGACTAGAAGATCAGAGAAATTCTCTATGTGGATTAACATTTTTTAATGAAAGTTGGCAGAAATATTGTTCAAAGTTTATTCTTCTGCCACGTATATGAAACATTTATATTTGACATTCTGTTTCGTTAGGAAGAATGTACAAATATCAACATTTTTTCGATCCTAACAGCGGTGTTTTCCCCCTTAAAGCGATTCCTTCACGACATTGCAATATCGGCAAAGAATATCAGGTCTGCTTCCATCGCAAGAAGTATGCTTCAATGTTTATACGATATTTCCAATTTAAGAATACACAAAATTATTTCAAGAACTATTGAATCATATAAAAAAATTGTTTGATTTGAAGGGTGATATATAATGGGAGATATATAATGTTACATCTGAATATTTTGTGAAATATTATTGCAGAGATCTCTATATCAATATTACTTTTTCTTTCTGTCGAAATTGTATAGTTTGACCACACTAATACTTATTATTCATCTTATTGCATCTTTCAAAATGCATTTACATAAAACAGTAAATGGAATACACTTTTTATCAATTAATTTTTACAATACTGATGATAAATATTTAAGTCTAATCCCCAATATATTAAAAAAATTATATTTTGTATAATAAATGATTTTCTAATCGAACATAGCAATAAAGCTTATCAGGCAGATCCTGCCTTAGATGGAACGAAATTAATCGTTTATTGAACAACCTCTAATTACTTGAGAATTGATTACTACCTAATTAATTTGAAAGGTCCAAGAAATAAGTCTTTTTTTAATAATATATCAACGCAAACAATAATTTCATAAAAAATTCGAGGCCATTATTATATTTCATCCTTCAAATCAATCAATTTTTACAAAAAACTGCCTTTGCATCTTCAATAGTTTAAAAAATAATTGTTTACGCATATACCCTTAAAACAAACATATTGCACATTATGCACTTACATTGTATCGATTAACACGTAAATTCTGAACTTATCAACAAATATTTGATTTTATTAAAAAGAATTTTTTTGTTAAATACCTTGAATTCAATTGAAATAATATAGCTTTAGATTTACTCTTTTACACGCATGTTCAACATAAATTTGTGTTAAGGTTTCAAATCGCTAATCATATTGTACACATCCGTTAGCCCAAATTTCATAAGAAAATAAATGTAACTGTTCAATTTTGATTTACATTATTAAAAATTATTACGATCAACCACCGTCTGACAACAAAACCTTCACATTATTTATTAATATGTATCAGTATCGCCGTACAAACAAAAAATAAAATGCATCATATAAATAATACTCGGAAATATACAAAAATATATGGAAACAAACCGTTCTTAAAAAAAAATTTCACGTAATTCTTGGTAAATTACACTCTTCTGACAATGTGATCGAATGGTTTTTTAAATCATACATTCTTAGGTTTCGAGGAGGTAAATAAATAGAATACACTAACGGTATATTCTATCAAATATAAATAATATATAATCGTACAACAAAATAAAAAATGAGAAGAAAAAAAAACAAAGCACATTAATCTTATCGCGTTTATCAATCATCGTTATTTCGTTGCATGCAATATCTTCTCATAATATATTTTTGCATAATATCCATTTCGCATGTATCGAGTGTTCTACATTTCACTTATATGCATACGATTCGAAATTTACAGAAACACGAATTTCCCGGATGTAAACAATTACATTCTAAGTTACACTAAAGGAAATAAAATAAAAAAAAAATAAGAATAAATAATATCGTAAAACGCTTATGTCGTACAATAAGTACTAACGCTCTCCGCAACTGTTATGATAATACTAAGTACAGTTTGTTATCATACTATCTGTGACATATCAAAAGAAAAGTTAAATAGGAGTCCGCGAAGACACACAATTTTCTAGAAATGTACGAAACAAACCATCGACAAAGAAAACTTTCGTGTGGATAATAGAGCATCTAATATAATTTCCCTAGAATTTACAAACTACGTTAGAAGTGTCTATAACATTGGACTTAATTGTCATAGGGTTTCATCTAAATACGAATCTTTGTATCTAAGCTACAAACTATTTGCAATCAAAGTCACTTTGTAATTTCGCTCGAAATACTGTATTTAGTGGATGGCATAATGGCTTTAAGGTAATCGAGGGATAATGAATTTGTTTTCATGTGGGTGGTGTTATTACACGAAGTGTACTCACTGAAATGCGTTTAGAATTAATAACTATTATTATCGTGTCTCTTAACGCTATTGCGAAGTATTCTCACGTTGACTCGACGTATTGCTACCAGTCACTTTACCTTTCTCTTAATTTGTATTACTTTTTTTTTTTAACGGAACAACGATGTTGTTTCGTCTATTCCGATATTCGAGATTACTTTTTTTTTGTTCTTTTTTAGTAAGTCAGTCGAGTTGTTATTGCGTCTTTGCGGAACGCTCTATTCTCATTGCAGAATTATAGAACTAAATGCATGTGGTATCCCATGTATTTTTATCCCCTGGCCAAATATTAATTCTACATCCATTAATAATATAATATTATACATCATATATAACACATTCGCTATACATTCCATATAACATTATAAATTAATCGTGTAATACGCCCCGGAAGTTCACGATATCGTATACAAGAGCAAGATCTTATGCGCTCTCGCATGTGCCTGTATGATAACATTTATTATCGTACTATGTGGTTACTCTACGGTAACAAGTATCTCTAGCTGCGGAGCAATGACAGCGGCGTTTCTGTTAAAATGTTATCGCTTGTTAGTAGTGGTGTTAATATTAATAAATAGATACCGCGATTATCATTGAACATATTTATATATATATATATATATATATATATATATATATTTATATTTATATATATATATATATTTATATAATAATTTAATTGAATTACCGCATAATCGTGTACCTTTTACGAGTTAAACTTTTAGGTTTAAACTTAGGTTTACCTTGTGGCTAGCTGATGGTACGATCCGAAGTCTTTTTCTTCGTTTCGCATAGTGGTGCGACGGAAATATTCGTCGAGGAAGATGAAACACAGTCCTTGGACAGATTACCATTTGGAGTTAATTTAGAGCTATCTTCTTCACAGTTATTTCTTTTGCTGTCGCGATTCATTGCGTTACCATCAATGGTTTTACATGATTCGTGACACTCGTTATTAGTACTATTCGTTTGTTCTTTGACGTTTTCACTGTCCTGTACTCTATTGTCTCCAATGATGCCTTCCCTGATCAGTACCTCTTTGAACGTGGCTAGTGTTTTACGAAGCGTTATACAGAAACCCCTAGATGCTGGTATCAGCGGAAATTCCGGAAGAATTTTTTCATCTAAACAGAAGGGACATTGTTAAAACTAGATTAATTCGAACCTTTTAGTATATATTAATGCTTCCCGAACATCACTTTCCAACGAATCCTCTTAACAAAAGAAAATCTTTTGCGTATTCGCTAATATAGAATTTTTATATTTTAACCATAATTTTACTGTTAAAAAGATGTATTTATGTTCTGATCATTTTTATTTAAAGTTGCATATGGTTCAATTACTTTGTATGATCTTTGTTTATTATTTTATTACATAGATTGCTTTTCTTATTTGGAATATATGTATTATATATTAACTATTTTCTTTTTTCCCTCGTAAAGTAAATGTGCTACAAAATTCCGTATATTACATCAATATTTTTTATATATATTATTGTTTTTATAAGTTTAAATGTTGACTGAATTATGTCTTTTCACAGTTCTTGTGATGAGCAACATTTTTAAATAATTTTGTATAACAAAAAAATTCTCGCTATTTTCACTTTACTTACATTATTATATTTTGCTTGTAACTGACAATATTTTTAAAATATCGCCCACAACAAGGTTCGAAAAGTAACAAAAATAATTGAAATATGTTAAATACAATTTTCGTATAAGAGATTGTTATTAATCATTATTATTAATTTAAATACATTCATACTTATTACTTTAACTTTTTTTTAGGCTGTTTGCTAAAATAATGCACACAAGCAAATATATAAAAAAGTAACGAACACGTGCGTAATTAAGTAACAAAACTACAAATAAGAAATCCAATAAAATTTACTTTCTTTTATTACCTTGACAGAAGCAGAAGAAAAAGTGATGCATATTTCAAATATAAACTGTTTTAGGTAAAATTTATAAAACCCATTGTATAAATCCAAATTTAATGAGGTGAATAATACTGCTTTTCAGATACTAAGTAAGGGGTAGTACTCATACTAAACATGAAATTGTATCAGTCTTTTCTTCTTTAATGCCCTTCAAATAATATAGTTCTTTATGAAGAAAATGCGATTTTAAAATAGATGTACAGTGGGTGTAGAATGTATTCATATACCGATCAATTTTCCAAAAAAACTTTTGTGTGAAATTGTAGTTTCTTAACTTCTTTTTTTATAATCAATGATATTTTACATATTCTCGGAAGAGTCTAAGATAGATATAGTCCAAACAACATTTACTAGTTAATATAATTTGTGAAATTAACAAAAAAATGCGAAAAATGGGTAAAAGTATAGAAGCAATAAGTATTAGTACGATTCTTATGACGAACAATTTACAGTAGAGTTTGTAACGTAAACATATTAGTTTATTGCTCCGTACGAATTAGAAAACATCAAATTTCCAGTAAAATTCTTTAAAAAAAGACTCTAATAGAGGAATGGAAGAAGATCCCATTTCGAGTAACTAATAATTTAGTTAATTTAATGCTTAGAAGAGTTGCAATAATTATAAAATCAAAAGGAAATCCCAAGAAGGAAGTATTATATACTTATAAATTAATGTAAATTTCTTTTTTTCTTAATGAAGTTTTAAGAATTAAACAGTTGTGCGATACTTATTGCTTGAATATTTCTATCGATCAATGGTTTTTTTCTTGTTAATTTCGTAATTTACATAAATAGCTATTTTGTTGTAATCTATCTATTCTAGAGATTTCTGAGAATATGTAGAATGTCATTGTTTATAAAAAATAAGTTAATAAATTACAATTTTATATAGTTTTTTTGGAAATTGATCGGTGTACGAATACTTTCTACACCCACTGTAGATAAGTATGCCAATTTTAAAAGAGCTATAAGTAGAGTTTCAATAAAGAATTCACAAAAGACAATTCTGTAGTGCTCTGGGTTACAAGATAGCCTCAACAATGTAATGTTATTGAAAGCATTTTTCTAAGAGCTCACGGATCACAGTTTGAGAAATGCCGATATAACAATAAGAAAGAAAATTATAACTCACCAACGTCGGCTATTTGCTTGAAAGTAGTAGGTGTCACTGGAGACAATGGATGTTGATTGTTATGCTGTTCAGAAATTTCCATCCATAGGTCCAGACGTTGTAACAATTTCTTCACGTGTCTCTTAAAGTGTCCAATAATAATATCTTTGAAAACAGGCGGTGGATGTTGTAACAGCTTAGTTTGCGCTTGAACTAATTTTAGAACAACCATTTCATTGTACATTCTTGAATTTTCTCTTCCTTGTTGAGAGCCCTTTTGTTTTTCGAATCCAGCTTCATTAAAATATGGTTCGGGTACAAGAATAAGGCCTTGGATTGAGACTATAACTTGCAACAGAGTCGAAGAACTCGTCCAAACTTCCGTTCCGCGTCCAGACCATGTTCCAAGTAAACTCACACATACTTTTCCATCTTCGTAGAGATTAGGATTCAATCTATCGTTACAATAAGAAATGTAGTGACAAAGTGGTGGAGCGACAGGGTAATCAGCAGATAATTGAAAGTCGAAAAGAAAGAGACCGTCTTCATATGGGGTTTTCTCAGGTCCACGAAACATTACGGAATATAAATCTATCCTATCTTCAAATCCTTTTACCCATATACCGGGTGGAAGTGAACTCTTTAAGAGCTTTAATTCCTTGGAAACAGTTCGGAAAAAATTTGTGGGGTCCGTAGGCTGGAACATTGTTAACTTAAATTTGTGACTATCTGGTGCCGTTTCCTCTATGGAAAAACCTTCTCCTTCTTCGTATACTGGCGGTGGAATTTCTATCGAGCATTCCGATGGTTCTTGTAATAACTCTACGTGCTTCTCCTCCTCTTTTTTCTGTTTTCTTAATGGAGATGAACCTTTCTCAGCATCAGACAACGACATTTTCGACAATCCAAATCGTTTAGAGACTTCTGCGTGGGCTAATACAAGCTGGGCCTTTATTAATGTGCAAAGTTTGACGCAAACTTGAGAACCGGCTACATTAGAACTTGTTACGTGCATCTGTGTCTTGGTAGCCTTATTTGTATCTGCTCTTTCTACTAAACGATCAGGCACATTATTCGCATCTTCACTGAATAGGAATTCTCCACTCGACTCACTCGAACCTGATTCTTTCTTTGAATTGTCTGCAGAATATAGTCCAGAATCTTCAGGATTTGGATTTACATTGATAAATAATCGATCGACCGATTCTTCGCTTCTTACATTCTGTTGCTTGTTGCTATCCTCGTTGTTTTTTACTTCGGTTGGTTCTGTTACGGCAATGATCTTCTCCGAAGGATTACTTCCGGATTGTATACTATTGAAATTTTCTACATTATCCTTTTCTGTATTTTCTTCCAATCCGTCAGATTTGTGAGTAAATAATCTCGTCACTTGATCTGCCATACGTTGCGCTACATTTGCTCGACCACGTTCTCTAACTCTTTCCAAAAGTCCTTGGAAGTGACTCTCGTGGAAGAAAGAGGTACTCATAAGTTTGTCCATATACCGACAATCTTTGTAAACTTCCAATAATTTTCTCATAACTTCGGTTGTTTGCAGCGATGGATTTTGAGTGAAGATCTCTTCCAATCTAGACATCGCGATACGAGCTTTTTCAATGTGAGCAGCTAATTTTGGCTTTATATTTTCCAACTCCGTTTGTTCTGTTCCGTCTGTGTCGGCGATAAAACAATCTTCTAATTCTGTTTCCCACGACGCGTCGGACGAAACGTCATCCCACAGTTCTCCTTCGTCGCTTTCATATTCACCTACTTTATATAAATCTTGAGGCCAACACATACTTACATGTCCATCAACCCACCACACTTTAACGCGTCCTTCTGGATAATTATCTAGCACTTGACCAGCAGTGCATCCAGCATCTTCTCCTTCAAAATTAGCTATTCGAATCACTAATGTACCTGGTCTGTATTGAAAATCTGGATGATCCTTCAGATCGTATACGCTGACTTCACGTTCTTCTAATAAAGTTGGCCTGACAAATATTTATCGAGATTAGTATTACGTTTTTCGAATCAATTGCATTAGTTCTAATTAGAGAAATAAAAGTGATTACTTACTGTGGACTCTGACTAGAAGTATACGTTTTAAACCATTTTATTTTAGCTGTTCTACCTTGATGATCGACACTTTGAACCACACCATACATCCTAGATTCTTCTTTTTGATCTACTACAAAATCACCTGGAAAGAATTCTTTGTCGTCTAAATGATGAATCGGGTAAAGCTGTGTAGATGGAATGCCTATGGGAAAGAATGAAAAATGAAATTAGTAGCAAAAGTTTTATACCATTGAACAAATAAGAAATTTAAAATATTATAGATACGATACCAAATTCTACCGAACCATCTTGCCAAACGACATTAGCTTTTGTATTTGTAGATAATGTTTCCACGACAATTTTAGTTCCTGGAATAAGTGGAATAGGTGGCACTTTCTTCTTTGCTTTACACAGTTTTTTTTTCTTCAGTACTTTAGTCATCAAAGCAGGACCCTTCTTTTTTTTACCCATAGATGACATACTTGAACACCCACTGGATACCTATAAATATTAAAATGTTCATTGATCGAAAAATAACAGCATTATTTTTTACTTTGATACAATGTTTATCATTAATAACAATGTTTTGAGAAAGATTAGTAGTTGAATTTTCTAAAATAATACTTCATTTTCATTTGAAGACCAAGGGGGAAAAATTCATTATGTCTAATTTTTACCGAAATTTAAATATACATGTCATCTAGCAGTAAAAGAGGCAAGGAATCGATTTATGCAATAGAAAAATCGATATAATCAACCGTTTGACAGAACAGGAAGGGAAAAAATGGCTATAAGGGGAAAAACTATATATATCCACTTTAATTTTAATAAAATGGTTACCAGTGTAACTTTTTTTTCGCCTCATTCTTACATTGGACACATTAAACTTTAAAATACATATTTTTGCCGAATTTTTAAACCACTATTAATGCCCCTAGGAGTTATGTAAACTAAAATCACGATTTTCTCGATTCTTTAATTTTTGAACATAATGAGTTTCTCCCCCTTGGTCTTCATTTGTCATTAAAACATCGAATCTTACCGAAGCACTGTCACTTTGTGAACCTGTATCTTCTGTATCCCAATCATCTGAGCTTTCAGTATTTTGGTTTTGTGCTGGAGGCATTAGAGTATTATTACTTGTCACATTTTGTAAATTGTTAATATTATTTTGAGCATTGTCTTCTAATGCCTGTTGTTCATTAATTTTATCCTTGTCCTCCTTTTTCTTATCTTCTGGTGGTTTTGTAACACTGATATTTGGACGTGTTTTCTTTGGGCTGTGTTTAGGAACTTGAAAAACGTCTCTTTGCTGTTTTCTCCATTGTTCTCGTGTAATGACATTTTCATTATCTTTAATTATATAGAAATTTCGATCTCCGACTTGCACAGTAGAAGGTTCAAAAACATTTAATAATTTCAGTTTTTTTAAATTTTCGCCTTCAACTACGAATTTTGGTTGAGCTTGATCCGACCATGCACCATCCTTCGAATAAGCCCTGCACTGCCAATGCACTCCTACCCAATCCGTTTCTACCTTTTCTACAATCACTTTTGTTATTTTTTGAGGTTTGGTTTTCCTTTTTGTTTTCATTTCTTTTGTACAAGTAATCCACTGTGCATCTTCTAGGCAGTGAACTGGTCCCCACAAACTTTGACCAGGATAAAATTCAGAAGAGTGAGGAAAGTCATTATCCTAAAAAGTATAATTTATCTATATGTCCAAACAGATTATTTTAAATTTGTTTCTTACATTATCTCGTTTCTCTTCCAATTGTCCTAGGACACAAGAATCCATTTTATTTATAACACAACGTGATCCATCAGGTGTAGCAAGCCATAATTTGTAGTGCGCCATTTTTATCCCACCCACCCATGAATCCATACAAACAGCTATATCGGTTGCAAATTCCTATAAATAAAAACTATTAATTATAATACATAAGTTACGTTGTTAAGAGTAATTACTATACTTCAGTGGTTTCCAGACTATTTGAAAGGCATCCTCCTAGGAAAAGGAAACTTTTGGTGCTAAGGACATACAGACAATAAATTTTTGTTGATTATTTCAATTAATTTCAAGTCAATAAAAAATCAAGTTATTTTTGATTGATTCAATTTTATACTCATTGTATACAAAAAATGATTTAAAGAAATTTCTGACTAAACTAAATGCTTACATAGATGCTATATATCACATGTGATACAAAACAAAAAAATTATAAAAATCAATATAATATATTTATTTAATTCTTTTAAACTAAAATTTATGAATGGTAGTATCTATGAAAATAAAGTATTGAAATATTTAAAAAGGAACAAACAGAATATCTGCTTACAGATGTTAAAGTTCTATGATAACTATACTAATACAAAAAGTGATGTTTCAGTTATCTATTGTTGTCTGTGTTAGATATACTTTTTTGTATACATGTCCCCCCTAAGTGTTGCGCCCTTTAGTTTGGAAAACACTGCTATACATATTTGACCACATACTTCCAAAGGAACTAAATCTTCACTTCTAATATTCGTAAGGACCTGTTTAGTACCAATCACTTGAACACAAGCAGTTAATTCGATATCTCTGCAATATCCTCTTTGTGTGTCCTTTCCCTTAATCATTCGACGTACAACATCACCTGGCATAAGTGTTCTGTCTGCCAAGTGAACCTGTAAATGAAAGCAGAATTTCCAAAAACATCATAATATTGTACCGAAGATCGAAAGGTTGCGGATGTTAAATTTAAACTGAATTCAAATTTAAATTTAACAGTCGGTCGCAAATATCGTTTGGATGACATGTGTCGCTTTCCATGATATTAAAAACATAAATACGACGGGAGGAGAGTAATAATACAGTGGAATACGAAATATTACTTCACGCAATGTTCATCTTTCGCAGGTGATAGATTCTTGAATGATATTAAACGTGAAATACCTTCTTCGCGTTGACCAACTCCTCGACACCGGAGGGATGCCAGACCACGCGAATCTCGCCCTTTTTTCTTTTCGGGCTTTCTTCGCTGTCAGAACTTTCCTCGGACAAATCCTCGTCGTCGTTCTCCATGACGATACCGAACACAACGTTACCTTTCTTGTCCACACGGTAGACGACATCCTCGAAGAAGTACTGACACTCTACCCCCAAGTTCGTAGCCATCTTTCCTCTGATCAGCGAGTACTCGCTCTCTGCCGACGACGGCTGACAGAAGGTTACACGGCGCAACGATTACGGCGCACGTCGCAGGCAGGGAACTTGACTCCGACCCCGAACCCGACCCCAACCCCGATCTAAGGATCGCCTTCGAGATGTCTTCTTGACTGTTCCTCGTCGATCGAGTTATTATCGATCTTTTGAAAATCGAGATTGTTCTTCTACTTATCAATCATCGAAGCATCTGTCAAAATATTTTTATTTAATGCCTAGCGAATGTATACGCATGTAAATTGTGTTCATGTATACATGTATACAGGGTGTCCAAAAAATGTTGTAACACCTTGAAAGGGGTGGTTCGGGAGGTCGAGATTGTTCTTCTACTTATCAACCATCGCTTCGAAGGATCTGTCAAAATATTTTTATTTAATGTCTAGCGAATGTATACGCATGTAAATTGTATTCACGTATACAGGGTGTCCCAAAAATGTTGTAACACCTTGAAAGGGATGGTTCAGGAGGTGATTTGAAACAACTTTTTCCTTAGCGAAAATGTTGTCCGAGGCTTCGTTGAGGAGATATTAACAGAAAACACTGACCAATCAGAGCGCGCGTATACGCTCTGGCCTTACTAAGGTATTCTTCCAATGCATATAATTTCAAGATATGCTTTAATTTTTAATAAAGCTAACAAGGGAAAGTCGCGATCCGGACGAGCGCTTTTTGAACGAGACCGGGCTCAAATGATGGGGGCTGATGGGCATAAAAAAAGTGCAAAACATTAGGGGTATCTGGCCAGTCGTTTTTATAAAAAATGGCTTTAAACATTAACGGTCACTAGAATCTAGATATACGAAAACATTCAAGTTCTGAACAGAAGCTCTTGTAGCTGCGAGCATTTCTATTTCTTATTCCTTTTTTTACTTACTGCTATATAAATAATATATAAGAATTGCAAATAATATAGATGTGAACATACTATTGTAATTAGTACATGCAGTACATAATATAGCAATGGTAGAAGTAAACATACAAATGTATGAGATGTGGCGTATTAATTATTAATAAATTATTATCAATAATACTATACTTTATAATTTTTATATATTTTTTATATGGCAGTGAATATTATAGTTCTTATATATTATTTATATAGCAGTGAGTAAAAAGAAAAATAAAAAATAAAAATGTAGTTGGACAAAAAATTTCCGTTGCCGAGTCTCGAACCCACAAACTTTAGCGCTCGCAGCTACAAGAGCTTCTGTTCAGAACTTGAATATTTTCGTATATCTAGATTCTAGTGGCCTGTAAATGTTTAAAGCCACTTTTTATAAAAACGGTTGGCCAGATACCCCTAGTGTTTTGCACTTTTCTTATGCCCACCAGCCCCATCATTTGAGCCCGGTCTCGTTCAAAAAGCGCTCGTCCGGATCGTGACCTTCCTTTGTAAGTCTGTTTTCAAAAACTGAACATTGTAAGTAAACAACCATCGACACAGTAAATAACTTCGGAACATTGCATAAATTGTCTTTCATTATATGCATAAAGGTCAAGAAGAAATTTATTAAAAACACATGTAACAATGTAAACAGGTTAATGTTTAAAAGTCATTTATTTTGACATATTTCTTTAATTATATATACACCTGATTGTCTTATAAATACATTTATGTTAACAGTGAGTAAATATCTAAAATATAGTGAAAGATAAAATATTGTGTTTAATTAACAGTTAATATCACATTGCCTCATATTTATAAATAGATATGTACCACAGCTACTAGAAAATTTTTTTATGTACAATACAAACAATTTAATTTTGACTTTTTATAAGTCTATGGCAAAAGAGTATGTACATACTTTTAAGTGGATAAAGTCCTAAATTGTGGCCATATACAACACAATATTCATATTTCATTCATATTTGTTCATATTCAGAATAAAGTTGTTTTATTAGAATGAGAACTCTGATCATGGTGTAAATAAAGAATACAATTAATTAACATTGACTAGATACATAGATAAAAATATTTAACGCGTACGTTTTAAAATATAATTTTCGTCATCGAAGAATAATTTTTTATATAACCATTTTTCTTATATAAAATAATTAAACTGCAAAATGAGTACGTTGAAAACCTTGGCCCAAACTTTGTAATATAGTCTGCACCTCATTTTCATTTTGATGGTAAAATACATATGCGTCAAATTTGGTTGCTAAATTACAATTAGTATCTCTGTAAATTGAGTTAAAAATACATTTACTAGTTAATACGATTTTAAAATACGTATATAAGTTCTTTTTTAATAAAATCAAATTACTTATTATATTCGAAAATGTATAATATTATTTATATTACCCTGCAATAAATGCAAAATAATGTGGAATGTTCGCAGTACGACCACAAGATGAGATTTCCATGTAACTTTGTTTAAATAGTACCTAAACATTTTAATAAAAGTTATTCTTAGAATATCATATATTTGTAAACGTTAACAGTTATGTTTACATACTGTGTCTTCTGCTATTTCTGTTACTCTAATTCCAATTTCTAGACATTCAAATTTGACAGGAACTGATTTTACTTCTTCTGACTTCAAAACTAGTCGGATTGCTTTTTCAATTTGTTTAACATCTCCTTCTGGACCAATATATACAGATCCACAATATTTAACAGAAAATCCAGCATTGAATGACTTGTTCTTTGATTTAGACATCTCAAGTTTTTCATCATGATCGTGCTTTTCTGAATTAAACCTTTTTAAAATCTTTTTCATACTGTCAACACCTGAGTTTTTTATAAGATATACTATTGGAGGGTATATTTCTTGTGTTGCTTTATTTCGATGCTAAAAGTTCATAACCTTGAAAATCTAGTTTTTTATAACTAAAAGAATGTTATATTATTTTAAAATACATACCTTGATTACATGTAAAGACACTGGCTGACCCATAGATTTCCTCATAATTTTACGCAACTGTCCCTTAGTATTAGATGTTATTGCATTTCCATTTATTTCATCCAATACATCTCCAATCTCAACTTTATCCTAGTACAAGATGAAAAACAGAAATTACAGTTACACTTATATCAGTATTTTTAATATTAAGACTATTATTTTATTGTATTTTTGTACGAAAAATCTAAATAAAGTTTTATATTTCTTACATCTTCCGCAGCTACTGAATTTTTGTCCAAATTTACTATTAAAGCTTTTCCTTTGGTAAAGCTGTAACAGCAAACCCCATTATTCACAGTAAATATTGCTGTTCATAATTTAAATGACTTACCATACAGAAATACCTAAACTCTTACATGGCACTAATTCTAAAGCCACACACTCTGGTAGTTCCCAAGATTCATCCAAAAAATTAGAATTTCGTAAATTTAATTTAAAATTTAGCTTACTACTTTGTAGTAATACTGATAGAAATATTTCACCGAGAATGTCATCTCCTAGAATACTGTTTTTATCATAATAGTCTGTAGCCATTAATGGTGTTCTGACCTATGAAATTTTACATGTAATCATTGTTACGAAAAAATTAACAAAATTACAGAAAAAAGAAAATTTATATGTTAATCAAAAAGACTTTGTAAATATAAATTAATTATACCAGCATTTCAATAGGCATATAAAGGCACTTTCGCATTAAACATGTTCTAATCAAGAGTCTTAGGCGTCCAGTACATGTCTGTACTTTTTGATTTTGTTTCACTTGTTCAATTACTAAAGAGTAAGTACAACAGGAACTAGAAGAATGTTATCTTAATTATTTTAAATATAACAAAAACTTTACAATAATTTAACATTTTTATAGATTTTAAATGAATTTCATTGCATCGTATGATATATTAAGAAATAATTTATATTTTTTTTATAAACCTGAAATGCTTCTCTGCGATTTCTTCTAACCAATACCAAGCATCAGGTAACTTTGCGAAACCTATAGGATTTAAGCGCAATAAAACACCCTTTTGTAAACATTTTTCTAAACATTTACAAAAGAGAGGCAGATCTACATTTCCATCATCAATCTCTTTATTATATTCCGTCAATTTCCTTGTCCAACCTAAAAATAAATAAAATTAATAATAATATAACAAATACATTACCAAATCTACGTTTCAGTTAGTTACTTCATATATTATTATTTTTACTACATATAAACTAAAAACTACAATTACGTAATTATCGGTTATTTTATTAGTTAGTATTAAATGCTTATTATTCTCCACATTTAGTATAAGTAAAGAATAATATAAAATACTTTAAATGTCCCTCAAATGTTATAGAGTCTATTAACATGTAAGAACAAATTTTTATCAAATATAAACTTTGCTCAATCAGATTTTTTATTAAAAATATTTTAAAAGCATTTCTCAATCAAATACACTTATATACATAATTCACAAAACAGGGAAATCATTATGTGTACAGAATACACTTTTTACTATTATTGACAATCTGTTATAAATATAAGACAAGAAAAATGAGGGAAAGTTCAAATTATTTTTTTATGAGGAATAGGACTGAAATCAATTTTCTAAACTTGGAGTAAATTTCAAATTTATTCTTTATGAGATACATTTGTTATATCAACCATTTTCATGTATGTAATGTACAAGTAATTAATAATTTTTTGTCTATATCAAACAACTGTTTCTCGTGAGAATTTAAAGAATATTAAAATGACAATTACATATCCAAATAAACAAAATTTAGTATATTTAGAAAAAAATACTTTGTCTGTTATAATGGTATAATTTTAATGTCGAAATAGTTATTTAACCTAAAAATGTCCAGGATCGCAAACTAACCTTTAAGTTCTTTGATAAGTGGGTTCGAGACCGTCATCGCATTATCAAGTTGAATAATTGTCACGATTTGACAATTATTTCATTACGTAAATAGGTTCATTGATTAAAAGTTCTTAACAATTGAATATTTTTCATTTTATGCTGACTTCAAATGACGTATCATTCTATCTATATACATACTGTCTAAACCAGTTTCAATGGATACTGTCCATACATCAAAATGTCACTATTACGAACGCCTTATATTTTGTAGTGCATATATTAGCAGGTTCGGTTTTAGGAATATTGACGCCCCGGGCAAGATTATCGTGGCGCCTCTTCAGGGGTATATACAGGGTGTCCCAAAAAAATTTTTAACACCTTGAAAGGGA